ATAGAACTTAATTCCAAAATCACAAAAAAAAAATTATGTAACCGGTAATGGTTACTGTTTGAAAATTAATAATCGGTAGCTTCGCATCATGACAAAATTAATATGTAGTCAGAAAATCAGTTTGCATCATAATGACATATTGCGTGATCTACGTACGGTAGCTACATCATATAGTATGTTTAACTCCTTCCAAAAACGAATACTAAATAAGGATTTTGCGAAAATCAGCATAAGCGACATCAAAAAAGTTGAAGGAAACCACATTTCATGTTACACAAGAAACGTGATCGTACTGGTATAATTTGTGTATACTCAATAATTTATATATATGGTTTATAACTTTAATAATTAACTATTGTTCATTATGGTTTTTACAACTATCTATAGTTCGAGTAGTTAACTACAGTTAACTGTAGTTCGAGTAGTTAGCAACTGTTAAACTATAGTTTGAGTAGTCTGTTAAACTGTAGTTCGAGTAGTTGATCTGCAATATGCGTACGATGATCCATATTAAAATCATATTAATATAAAAAAACTTTAAGTTCAAATCTGATTGCAAGAATGAAAATTGGCATGTATTTACAGTATATTTTATTAGGTTACAGTACGATTCCTCGAAACCTATTTACCCGACATCATCTGAAGTGAAAATTTACTAATAAAATATAACTATAGCTAACTAAATGCTAAATTGTGATATCGGGTAAATGGACTGTCGGGTAAGTAGTTTTCGGGGAATTGAGCGACAACCATTTTATTATATATATATATACATATTTTTTGTAGAACCAAAATAAAAAAAGTTCATCGTGAAATCGGATGATGATAAAATTTAATTTGATGTTTTAGTATTACATCGTGAGCTACTGAAAAAGTCTAGAATGGTTCTAATACTCGTCCAGAGCTACGGTTACACAAGAGGTCGTAACTAACACTACTGATACTAAACAATCCAAAATAATCCAAAAATCCAACCCAATATAACCTCAACTTGGATGGCTTGAAAGAGGCGGGTATAACTTGGTCCGAGGTTGGGGTTATTTGGATAGTAGTTGGTTTGAGGTTGGGTCTTTGGGTCTCTTGATCGAACTTTTAGGCCTTGAGGTCACGTTATCGAACGTCACGTTTCGAAGATCACGATTCAGGTGTCACGGGAGTAACAATTTAATTGATCGGAACAGTGATCAAGGGTTAATCAAATAAGATTTACTATATAACGATAACAATAAGTTTGTATTTTACTAATTTGGAACCTTTACTCTACAAAAAATTTTACGATATACAAAATCACGGGTATAAGAAAAATAGCGATATAATTTCAAGAACGATTAATATAAATGATTTATTCGAGACTTATTCTATATGCCGACCTTAGTGATTGAACCTAGGTGCCGCACACAAAAAATGCGCCGATTTTGATTAGCTAAGAGCGACGATCAAAAATTTTGGCTGAAATTACTAAAAATTTTACTAATGAAATCATAGCCGCCCATTAAGTGAAAATTGTTCCTGAGCTGATTTTAACGAAAATTTCTATTTTTAGTTAAAAAGTTAATTCCGGCCAAAAATGAGTGAACAATTATGTAATGCGGGCCAAAATTTTGCAGATCCACGGCCGTTAGCCAATCAAAATCGAGGATCATCCGCGCATTTTTTGTGCGGTACCTAGGTTCAATACCATAGTGTGAGGTCCAATAACGTGACTTAGAATAAGCTGCGGCTAAGCACGTTTTTGCAGCTATGATGATCCTCTCCTGATATAGACATCCCGGCAATTAATTGAATAATAGTTTATTAAAAAAATTAAAATAAAGAAAATGTAAAAGCGAGATTTCTTCATTAAAACAATTCATAATTAAAATTTATTATAAATAAAGGGCCTAATTGCTCTGAGAAAATTAAGTTCGTTTGCTTCACAAAATAATAAATTCCTAATTTTAATGAATAAATTGCTCATAACATTACAATAACACTGCTACTCTAAGTCTCTCGATAAACTTGAATTATAATCTCTTGTTCGTTTAACCTCTTACTCATGTGACTCAAACCTTCTGGACACTTGAGACCAAAGTAACCCGAGTCTTAATAATCCTTCGGCATAATCTAACATACCTCTTTCATAAGGTTATTTACTCTTGGTTATACGAGTTTTTGTATTGTTGAATGACTAAATCACAGTCCTTTTTCTAGCCTTACAACATAATTAGGCTAGAGCATAGTAACAGACTTTTTATTTCTATGCCAAGTAGTATTAAAATTATGTTTTTGATATATTTTGATCAAATAAATTACTTTTTTGATGCATTTATATTAATTAAATGAAATCTGATCAGAAACACAATTTGAAAATTTTTTGTTCATTGTGAAAGGCTCTGAGGTGCTACCTGATCTAATTTTTTTATTATATTATTGTTTTTATTATTTTATTATTTTGCATTTAGTATTATTTCTATTTTTAGTTAGTTATTTTATTTTATTAGTAGAACTTGAAGGCTAAAATAGTTTAGAGTAAAGATTAATATATCACAAATTTCTAGAATATATAGGATTCCTGCAATTCTTAAAATTCAAAAAAAATAAAAAAATAAAAATAATGAGAAAATTAGAATAGCAAAAAAAATAAGAATAGCAAGAAAAATAAAAATAGTAAGAAAAAATTAGAATAGTAAGAAAAATAAAAAAAATTAGAAAAATTAAAAAAATAAAAATTCTTATTAGTCTGTTATATATAAAGAAAACATATATAAGTAGCATAAATTACTTTGAATAAAGAACAACTCTTGGAGTTTTAAACTTTAAAAAGAAGTATCTATAAAATAAAACTGATTTACTAAAAATTATCCTTATAATAAAATTGTTGCTATAAACTATCTTGTTAAAGAATTGAATTTGTTTTGTTCTTATTATAGTTTAGTAGTTAAATTTTGAATTCTCATAATACTTAAATTATAATCTTTTAAAATATAACTTTTTGATAATATGATTAAGAAAACTTAATTTTGCAATTAAAGAAAACTAACTAAACTAATTCAAAAAAACTAACCTAAATACTATAAATATATCTAAGTAACTCTAACCTTAGATCAAGTTATATCTATTTATTTTAAAGCCTACTAAGATTAGGATTATACTCTAGTTAGATATTTGAATTATATTAGAATATTTTTTATAAATTATATACTTTACAAACTCTTATATAATAGCAAACCCAACTAAGTTCTAATCTAGAACTAGGTTATATTTTTTTACTATCTGCATGCATATTCAAATTTGTAATTTAGTATAACAAAAATATATATATATATGTACTTGTATAATAAATTGATTATTATATGATATACTTCAAATATATAATGCTATTACTATATATTATTCTAATACTAGTAAATATTTTATAATATTAATAAAATTATTATATAATAATATACTATTTAATACAAGTTATATAAGCTCAAAATAACTCTTAGAGATAAAATTATAGAATAATTAAAGAGTAGATTATATTCAAATAGTTTGTATATAAATTAATAATAGTAGCTAAGATTTTTTTTTATTTTATAAATATTGTTGATTATAGTTAGGTTATTTTTAGAGGTCTGCAACCCGGGCTCGTGCCTGTGCTTAACAAAATTCTAGGCATGAAAGCTCAGGCACAGGCATAAACATGAGCATAGGCATGTCCACAGAGAATTTGGCATAGGCATAGGTAGAGATTGTACTCATTGAGAAAATCTTTACCTGTTATTATTAACTATTAAATTACTCGGGTTATATGAGTAATTTATTATTTACCTCAGGTAACCATATGCAGCAATTTTTACTCGGGTCCAATCCTTAGACAAGTAGGAGCTCTAGTATCTAGCACTTAATTCTCATACCTATTATAGTACCTGGCATTTATGCTTATGCCAACAGGAGTATTTATTGAATTATTACAAACTGTGTCAATAACGGTAAATTTATTTATACAGCATATTGTATTTAAATTTCTGATCAGATTTTTCAGGGGTATGTCTGGCACAAGATAATTAAATGTCCGATGATAGATTTATCATAGGTGGCACGATCTGTTCACAAAATATATTTGAAAGCCCGATCCCAGGTTTTCTTTTGACGCACCCATATATAATCTTCTTATTTTGTAAATTCAACCTTATGCGGTTGCATATTATATAAGTTAGAGAAATATTATTTGTTGCCCTATTTGTCTGTGTATACCACCACCGGATTTCGTAAACCGTGATAATGTGTAACCAAGTAGCTGTAAAATTATTTCAATCAATTTTTTATTATTCATAATACGTACATATTTAATTTTTATTAATTTTCCCACCCGAATGCGTAGATATAGAGATCATACTAACAGTGCTCAAGATAAGAATGTAACTGATAGTTTACAATGAGCCATTGAATTAATAATCTGTCCTTCCTTATAAATTAAATAATTTACCATTCTTTAAAATAAGCCATCAATCCTTTAATGCTTACGGTACTGAGTAAATTGGCAAATGCTGTAATTCAGGCGAAGCCACTCATGTGAAATCTTTAATTGTAACACCAATCTGAATTTGGTAAGAAAAAAATGAACAGTATAATGTAGTACGTAATTATTAGTAATGTCATTGTTACCAATTGTAAACTGTAAAAGTAATTGACTTACGGGCATAATAAAAATGTGATAAAATCACATGATTAATTATAAGTATAGACTTTATAATACGCAGTCATCTCGATCTGTGCAAAACGGAATTGGTAGTTCCGAACAATTATTATTTATTATATAGCAAGTCTGTGGGATTAGAAAAAACATATTTCTAAAATTTTAGTAAAGAAAAAGAATCCTTAGTTATCAAATCATAGTAATGAATTGTATGTTTAATCGGATATTTTCAATTAAATTTTTTGATATTTCTTGATAGTGTTTTTTTAAAAAAAAAAATCTTTAGCGTTAAATAAACTTATATGCATATTTCACAGATGAAGCTATCGCAAAACAGATCATGCCCGATTTTTATCATAAGATTAAAGATTTCCAGTATTATACATGGCATATTACTGATTGGAAAAATTTAGAAAAGAGAGTAAAAAGTCCTGAATTCGAGGCTGGCGGTTGGAAATGGTGGGCTTAATATACGTATATGCATTGTCTTCAAAAATTTGATTTGTATGTATACATAATATAAATAAGAGATCAATTTATTAAAAATTGTATTTAGGCAACTTTTGCTTTTTCCTCTTGGAAATTATAATTATGAAGAGACAAATCACATTGCAATTTATTTGGACTTTGTTGATCCACAAGAAATACGTTATGGTTGGCACACTTGTGTGCAGTTCGCTTTACTCTTATGGAATCAAAAAGAACCAACGGAGTTCGCTAGTCAACGTAAGTATTATTACAATAAGAATGCACCATTTACCGTAATTTAGTTTTCATAATTATTGGATTAACTATAGATACATATCATCTTTTCTCTGCCGAGGAACTTGATTGGGGTTTTGCAAAATTTTGTAATAGGAGTAAATTGTTTACTCCATCTGATAACCGAACTCATCCGCTAATTGAAAATAACTCTTGTAATATTACGGTTTTTGTTCGTATTTTTGAGAATCCAACCGAGTACATAGGATTAAAAAATCAAGGAGTAAATAATTTTTTAAACTCGGTGCTACAATCATTATATCATATAAAATATTTTCGTAAGGTTTGTTCTTTTTTTTTTTAAATTAATTTATTATAAATTTAATAATAAAAATATTTAATTTTATAATAGGCGGTATATCAAATCCCTAAGGAAGAAGAAAGTATCTCCTCAGCTTTACAACGGATTTTTTATCAATTAAATATTTCCGAGACTTCGGTTAAAACAACAGAATTAATAAAATTTTTTGGATGGAATAAGTTTTTTATAAACGATGTTCGAGAATTTATTAGAATAATGCTAGATGACCTTAAGAATAATATGAAGGTGCATATATAGTACTTTACAAAATTCAACTATAGTGTGAATTAATATTTGTTTTACATTTTGTTTTGAACGGTAATTTAGAGTACAAAAGCTGATGGTAAAATTTCTGAACTATTTGCTGGCACGATAAAAACTTATATTAAATGTGTTGACGTAGACTATGAGTTTATACGTGTTGAAGATTACTATGGTAGAATGAAAACATTAATTTAATCGATAATTAAATATTTTTTATAGTTTTTAATAGTGATTATTTCCGATAGATATTCAACTTGATGTTAAAGGGTGCAAGACTTTAGACGAATCATTTATGAAATATATACAAGAAGAAACATTAGACGAAGATAATAAATATTACGCGGGAGACTATGGTTTACAAGTAAGTTTCTCATTAAGCTATATTTTATTTGCTATATATGTTCACTTCATCACTTTAGATATTATATTTATAGGTTGCGAAAAAAAGAATAATGTTCGAAAGTTTTCCACCTGTATTGCATTTACAATTAAAAAGATTTGAATATGATGATAAGAGTAATAAAATGGTCAAGGTATAAATCTTTAAAATCTTTATTATTCCATCACACTCTTTCTAAAGTTAATTTGTTATAGTTGAATAGTTATTATGAATTTCCAATGGAAATTGATTTACAAAAATTTATGTCACCAGGCGCAATTAATTTACAATCGCATAAATATTTACTACATGGGTTTGTTCTAAAGTTGAAGATTTTTATTATAATTATTTGATCAAGTTTGCATATAGTTTGATATTATTTTATTGCAAATTAGTGTACTTGTTCGCGCCGATGATTGTAATTGGGAAGAAGATCGCTATTTCGCATTTCTAAAACCTGAAAATGATCATAAATGGTTTGTCTAATTTATGCTTACTATTTGATTATATTTACAGCATGCTAAATTTGATAAATAACTGGTTTAAATGCATACGTATAAAGGATAAAATTTGATGATAAACAAGTTACACCAGCATCAATTAATTATGGTTACGAAGGTATATTGCAATCCAAGAATGCATATATGTTGATATATATTCGTGAGTCTAATGTTGATGAGATATTGTCCCCAATACTTCCTGAAGAGATGCCGAAACACTTACGTAAGTTTATAATGAGAAAATTATTTATCTGTTATTATTAATATTTTCAATTTATTGCTTTATAGAAAGCAGGTTAGATAACGAAAATACTGAATTTAAACATAATGCAGAAGAAATATATTTACAACCATGGGTAACTTTAAATGTAATTAAAACATAATTTAAAATTAATTATCAAATTAATTTATTGTCATATTTTAGGTTGTGACTGAAAAGGTAGTTAAAGATCATACAGGATTTGACCTTGTTAATTTTGATAATCAACAATATCCATTATCGGAAATTCCAAAATTCAAAATTTTAAAGGGGGACACTTACAGTTCTTTCAAGAAGATGATTGCTACAAAGTTTAAAGTTCCTATTGATAAAATAAGATTTTGGGTAATTGTAAAACGACAAAATAAAACTATTAGGCTAGATAATCTTATAAAAGATGATTTTCTTAACTCATGTAAGTAGTCAAAATATCTATATTACGCATTACATTTATATTTTTATTTAGTACAGTTCATTATTACTTAGCAATGGAAGAAATCAAAATTAAAATATCGGGAAATAATGATTTAAGACTTTATATGGAAATATTAGAAACTCCAATAAATATCAAGGTAATCACCCAAAGTGATAAGTCAGCATATGAACTAATATCATATTTACATCCCTAATTTTAATTTTCGATTTACGTGTGTATAGAAAGGATCTTTACCAACTGGGACTTTTATCATTTTTATAAAATATTTTAATCCGGATACTCAATCATTAGAGTGTGTAAATTTAATTTAGTGTATAAAAAGTATTATGTTATGAGAATTAACACAACCTTTATCCACATAAGCAGAAGCCTTGGTCAATTATATATTCAGAAACATTGTAGGGTTGACAGTATTTTTCCGATTCTCTGCAAGAAAAAGCAATTCCCATCAAATACGCCTTTAAATATTTATGAAGTGGGTTAATTATAATAATCATTACACTAATTTTTAATACAGTAATTTTCACCTTTGCTCAATACCTAGGAGATTACACCACGCATGATAAAAAAAATGAAGCCAAAACATACTTTTGGCAAATCCAATATACAAAATGGTGATATAATATGTTTCCAAAAGGCATTAAAGAATAAAGAGTATGCTATTTAAAAACTTCATTAACTTATTAAATTTCTGAGTAATTTAACATTGTTTTCACCTAATTAGGATTTTAGACCATATTTTAGCGGGCCGTTTAAATACTATTTCTCAATTTTACGAATTATTATCAGAAAATATAATTGTTAAATTTAAGTCAAAACTTGGGTATCGAGATCCAAAGCCCGAATTTGATTTAGTTTTAAATAAAAACATGTCTTATGAAATTGTACGTTAAGTTACTTAAGAGCCATTTCATTGTTACATTTTGTTATAATATCTAATTGAATTTTTTTTTTTTTTTTTTAATATATAGGTAGCTAATCAAGTCGCTACTTATCTTAATACTGATCCTTTAAGGTTACATTTTTCGATGATAGATTCATCTAGAAAGATAAATGATATAAATAGAACTATTAATCAGACATTATCAGAAATTCTTCAATCATCAACATTCATATATTACGAAGTGCTTGACATTAGCATCTAGAATATAGAACTTAATTCCAAAATCACAAAA